AATTATTCAAATAAAAAGGAATTCCATTAGAATATCCGTAAAACGATTAAATATAGCCAAGCAAATTTTCGTTATCTACCCCACTAAATTAAGTTCTTAGCAGTTACTACGTGTTGTGCTCCTCTATGCTTTACTTTCACTGTATATAATCTTGTCTTTATACGGCTCTTTTAAATCTGTCGGCTGAGATTTTTCAAAAAGGATCATTAAGATACAAATCTGTCCCTGACTTTTGTGTCCAGGCCTGTTTGTATCCAAATAATAATGATAAGTATCCCTAATAATAATAACAATTATAATATAATAGTGAAGTTTTGTTTACTAAAAAAAAAAAGGTTTTATAAACTATGAGTATACGTGTGAAATTGCTTTGTTTTAACACACTGATAAAAACAATCGAAAACACACTACTGGTGGGGTTGCCATTTAAGGAGTTTCAGATTTATTCACAAATGAATCCAACAACCCACACCACCATATGGGGACGGACACAAAATACTTTGATACTTATCTCCTTCGTCCTTTCCACTTTTATTTTAGGATGGATTAGATAAAATTGCAAGAAATGAAATACTGTTTAGGTAAATGACAATTGTAAGAGTTTTTATAGAAAATAAAATAAATTGTGGGCAAATATTTGGGTAAAAATGTAGGATGTTGTTGTTCAAAATTGACTTGTAAAAAATATATTCATTTAGTTTTGTAAATTAATAAACCAATTTTTAACATGTTAAATAATTATATATATATATATACTTATATGTATATAAAAAGAAATAACAAACAAAGAATGATTGAATTTGTAAACTCATTCACTAAAATAGATATTTATAAGTAAAAATAGTATAATACAAAAAATATCTGGTTTGAAATACTTGGATTATATAAATAAATTTTATAAAACATTTCTCATAAATTATGGGCAAATATTTGGGTAAAAATGTAGGATGTTGTTGTTCAAAATTGACTTGTAAAAAAATATATTCATTTAGTTTTGTAAATTAATAAACCAATTTTTAACATGTTAAATAATTATATATATATATACTTATATGTATATAAAAAGAAATTACAAACAAAGAATGATTGAATTTGTAAACTCATTCACTAAAATAGATATTTATAAGTAAAAATAGTATAATACAAAAAATATCTGGTTTGAAATACTTGGATTATATAAATAATTTTTATAAAACATTTCTCATAAATTACATATATATATGTATATATGTATCTGTATTTAAAAATATTATGAGTTAGAAAAATCATATTTTCCTGTATAATTAAAAAAAGAAGTAAAATCTCAAGAATGTTAAAAAACAAAATACTTTTGTTTACTTGAAGTCTTGAACCAAAAAATTATTTTATCATTTACTTGATTGCTACAAAAATCTTTTGTCATTATCTGGAAACAATGCATATAGTCTGAATTTTGTTGTGATAAATTCCCCTTCTCTTTTTAATTAAAAAGCCATTTCTTTTATTGTACTACTAATTAGTTATTTGACTTTTCTCATCCCCCTCCTCCTCGTTTTCTTTAAATAGAGGGCATGCAGGGTAACATTTCATTCATCACTTCTTTCTCCATAATACATTGAGTGTTATAAACAGTTGAAGAAAATGGCTTCCAAGGCTTTGGTTATGTTGGGTCTCTTTGCATTTCTTCTCGTCGTCTCAGAAATGGCCGCCGCATCAGCAAGGGGTACGTAAAATTTATTTATAGAAAATAAGAAAAATGTTTATGAGGCTAATCGATTCTCAACTAACGAACCATTTTATAATTTGGTCCAATTATTTCGTCCGTTTTACCTTCGGAAAGTTGGTTTGAAGGACGGTCAATAATTATATGGACTTACAAAGTAAAAATAACAAACTTAAGTATGATGTCTATGTCCTAGTAAGAAAAGACATACTCACGATGTTGTTATACGTATCAGACCCCAACTATTTAGATGTTTGGTGCCAATTTTCTACAGAACATATACTTGCTGTAGAAACTCATTTTTTTTATAATTTAAATCAGATTATTCGAATTGATATTACATTATATTAAAAAGTTTTTAAGAGAAATTTATTTTTGAAATTTTTGCACGTGCTAAATAGTATCTTAACAATAGTGTGGTGCTTTTTTTTGGACAGGCACGGTGAAGCCGGAGAGTGAGGAAACTGTGCAACCTGATGGACGAGGAGGATACAACAGAGGAGGAGGATACAACGGAGGTGGAGGATACAACGGAGGAGGAGGACACAACGGAGGTGGAGGATACAACGGAGGAGGAGGATACAACGGAGGAGGAGGGTACAACGGAGGAGGAGGTCACAAAGGTGGTGGAGGATACAACGGAGGAGGAGGATACAACAGAGGTGGGGGATACAACGGAGGAAGAGGAGGACACGGGGGACACGGAGGAAGAGGAGGACACGGAGCAGAAGCTGTTCAGACTCAGCCTGGTCACTAAAAAGTTTACAATATACTAAACACCATGAAGTGATTACGTCTATGTATACACTTATATGTGTGTATGATCCTATAAGTAAATCATGGTGACTCTAGTTTAAGAAATGAACCTATGGAAATAAGTTTCGTAATGTAATGCAGCTATGTTCGAGTTTGTAATCTGCGCTCTTTGCATAATAAAATCGTTTGTAGTTTATGTTATTCTCTTTGGTTGTGTGTAACGGCTCTTGAATCGAAGAAAAAAATTAGATTTAAACACAACACATGCAAAGTTCAGTAAATACACGAAAAGTATCATAAAGATTCTCTAAATATGATTTGACACGTCCAAAGCTAGTATAGTTTTTTTTGTAGCCGGTTTTTTCTTTAATTATTGCAGACTTAGGTGGAGCTATAGAGTTTCACCACTCTTTGTCTTAGAATCTGACATTCATTCTCTGATGCGCTAGGTGCCTTGATGAGGTCATCAGACCGATAAGTGAATTGAAGCTCCATCAGACATGCCACTCAAACCACCTAAAACCTGACCAAGACACCCGTACCTTTCAATGAATATATCAAAGCAACCTGAAGAGTTTAAACAACAAATCAATCTTTTTCAAAATTTTGATATATCATAAATTCACTACGAAGTGGAACTGGATCAATAGGAGCTCGGAGCGAACCAAAATCGCATTTACAAAACTGGTGATTTCAGAGTATTAAATTAGTGAAGCTTATGCAGACCTATGTCCAATGATCGATGCATTCTAGCTCTACCACAAATATTCAGAGTATTAGTCAGCTTGGAAAGCAATTTCAGTTTTTCTAGAGCACGCCTCGAAGTGGACTCATCCCAAACCGAATCCAGATGAAGGATTTATACATCTTACAAATCGAGAAGACCTATATTTACCCGATTTGGACATACAATTACTTATTGGAGTATTCCGACCAAAGAATTTAGGTTGTAAACGACTTGTTCTGAAATATTTATCCATCAGAGAACCACGGCTAATTGGATCAATTTCAGACCCGATACGGACTTACAAGTTATTAAGTGTACAAATGCACAGACCTGTTTTGACCCAATTACTTGTCTAGGCCAAAAATTGAGCTACACAGCCCACTTCAGCACATATCACAGCCCAAAACCACTTGAAGATTGTCATTGGATCTCTCCTGGTTCCATCAAATCCAAGATCAAAGGATTCTCAAGTTATGTCTCATTTCCTTAAACGGGTCAACATGGTTCTATTCAGGGAAAGTTCTAGACAAGGTTGGTTTAGGAGTTGTCGAAGTTATGTATGGTGACCAAGCGATTTTTCTAACCATTCTGGAGCTTCCATACACGAGCCTCGCTACATCAGTATTCAGAGAATTAAGTGAAGAGCAACCCCAATAGTAACAACATTAAAGAAGTCTTAATAATTAATTATTAATATTTTGTATACTTTATATAGTTAAGACACTTTGTAAGATTTTGTTGTTTTTAAACATACAATACAACGGAGACACTTATCAAATTTTATGTAAAAACTTATTTTAAAAAACTTTTAAGTGCATAATAACTCGTTTTCCTCGAGCGCCTGGGAGAAAAAGTTCTTAAAGTGTTACAATAGTTATATCAGTTGACTCCATTTCTCTAAACGAGATTCAATCTAAGATCAGTGTACCTTAAGTAGCTCATTTAAGTTGCTCCGTGAGGTCACAATTTTTCTATCTTCTCCAAGTTGTTTGTTGAATTCTACGAGGGTATCTTCCTGCACCAGAGACAAAAAAAACAAAAAAAAGAAGAAAACAAATACGAGCTTTAAGTATGAATAAACACATCGATGCAATTTTCGTATGTTATCCAGAATCATGTAAAGAAAGTAATCAAAAGACACAAGGCATACCTTAGGAGGGAGCAGGCTCATAACATTAGTGAAGAGCTTGTATATCTCTTTATCCTCCGATGTTTGCCTTCCGGTGAGTCCCTTAGTAATACGCTTTAACGGAAGGGGATGCAAGATATAAATGTATACAAGTTCTATTGGTTGCACAAGACATAAAGACATGAAGTGTTAAAGAAGGTGAACGTGAAGCTAATTTGACCACAAGTGTCAAAACGCGACTGATACAAAGTCAGTACTCAATGCGTGTTCTAGAAATTTTATAACTTGAAAGTTAATCGTTGATGTGCATATGAGACCAACCACAAGTTCTATGAATTTACCACAATAGACAAGTACTAAAGATTCCATCATCAAAGTTTAGCTAACGTACCAGTCTCGCAATGCGGCCAAAGTTTGGGAGAATCATCGTCTGTTCACAAACAACAAAGTTCAGAAAAAATATGAACAATTAAGTTACTTACTGATCAATAATGAACAATGACGCGTTCAGAAGGGCTTGCAGATCATGCACTAAGTTAAAACACAAAAAGCATCTACAAACAGCTCATGATAAATGATTTTTCCATGATATTTCTAAGCATCAAATCACCTGGACTTGGTTCTTGAAGAAGAAGGCTTTTCTTCTCTGTATAGCATATCAAGAATCTCAGTCTTCAAATCATCCACTAAAATTTGCCAAAATCCTTGTACTGTGCAGCGTAATTCCCCTCTCTGGGCTCATCAGCGTATTTCCCAACTCTGCAAATAAAACCCATATGCTTATAGAACTGTGCATTTAAAAGGATCGAGCAATTTGCAAAAAAAAAAAAAAAAGAATCAGTGACATACTCTATCTCGAGATGGGGAGGTTCAGTTTCACCATCAGCTAGTGCATCAACAAGAAGTTTATCATCTATCGCCAAGCACTTAACCAAAACTTTCTTCGATCCCTTCTCAGGATTCGCATAGACAAACGCGTATTCCTCATCGAATTCGTTCCAGCCGTCAATCCCAACCTCTATTTAAAATCCAGAATCGAACAAATCAGAAACCCTATTCCCTAGAAAGATCCAGAAACATTCACAACATAACAGAGAAGATGAGGAAGCCAAAACTAACCCTGGGTAGGAGACGAAGAGAGAGCGTCGTTGGCGAAGGCAGGCCGTTTGGTGGCAGTGAGGTCGAAACCGGAAGCGAGGAAGGAAGCGTGAACAGCGAAAGCGAATTGAGCTCCGAAATTACCCAGCGAACCACCTTCCTTCTCCACCCGAACCACCTTCCTTCTCTGGTCACCACCCGAACCACCTTCCTTCTCTGGCTCATCGATTAGGACTCCAGAAAATTTTTCACCAAATTGAAACACAATGAATTTGGGAATTTTTGCGTCAAAGAGAGAAAGAGGAAGAGAAAGACTTTTTTTGTCGAAGAGGAAGAGATAGACAAAACAAACAAGTGCATTTTTTTTTTTGGGTGAATGTTTTTTTATCCAATAAAAAATTGACATATGTCTGTTCTTTAGTTTAGAAAAAAGATCCTAATTTGGATCTCCATCTAAAATTTTAGACACTCAATATATTATATTTAGGAGGTGTTATTGGTTCTTGTATTATAATGGATTTGAGAATCCAAACCAAATTTAGTGTTATTGGTTCTTGTATTTTAAAATTTATATTAAAATACAGTGTTATTGGTTCTATGATTTTAAAATCCATAATGAAATATAGTGTTATTGGTTCTATCATTTTAGAATCTAAATATTATAAGGATTTGAGTTTTAATTGAATTTGAATGGATTTGGAAGGATTTTCATGACTAAAATACAAAGACCCAAATACAAGGTCTAACCTTGGTATTTGAGTGGATTTGATTTTCCATTTTGCTGATTTTGAAATCAATAAATTTATCAAATCCAAAGAAGATTTATAAATCCACCAAAATACTAAAACCAATAATCCCTACTTATTGAATTATAATGCTAAAAACAATTATAAGATCTACCATTGAGGTTGGTCCTACCTTCCTAAACTAAATGCTTTCACACTTGGACCATTTATGTGCAACAGCTACTTCCTTTTTGAGCTGAGTATAAGACTCATTGAAGACATTTTAGTGAAGACAAAGAATTTCAACCCATGGGATCATAAAGAAGATATCAAGGTATAAAGAGGCGTCCAAAGTTTTTCTATTGTGGCCCAAAGGTAATCACACTCCGACGGCCTTATTTCTTTTAGAAATTATACCTCTATACCTCATTATTTTTAATTCCAATCTTTTTGTTTTTCATTTTTTTTGGAACGTTAGTCCTACTCCAGGTTTAAAAGTGGAGCTCTGTATAAGCTCATCATTTCTTTTTTGTAAACACACTTTTTATTGAATCAATAACTGAGTTAATCTTTTTTAAGCTCTTTTGCTTTTTTCTCTTTGTTTATCTAAGTATTATGGTAGATTGCATTACTTAGTCAATGTCTAAGTCTCTATCTTTTATATGAAATCACATAGATTTTGGTTTATGTTCTTATCTCAGCGGTTATCCGCACCTTTGAATGACAAATTCATCCTCTCAAACTTATTAACTCTCAACAGTTTTGCATCAGTGGATTTTAATCTTATATCATCTCGTATCAGAAATAAAAGTTTCGATCGTTAAGTTATGATCATCCAACCATTATCTCTTTTAATTATGTTGTATTTTTTTCAATTTCTAAAATAAAATAAAAAAACATCAAAATTTATTTTTGTTTTTAATATTTTTGTTTGCTTTTCATAAAACAAAAACAAAATAAAAATTATTTTCATTGTTTTTATTCATTTCTATCTTTTTATAAATTGAACTATTAAAAAAAGTTATGATTAAATTTTCTGTTTTGTACTTTGTTTCAATTTAAAACTAAAAACAAAAACAAAAAGAAATTAGCTTAGTTTCTTTTATCTGTTTAATTCGTTTTATAAAAAAATTCCTTGAAAAAGATTTATAGAGAAAGTCTTCAAAATGTTATGAAAATAAAGTTTAATTAAGAAACAAAAACACGATAGATTAAAACTGAATCATCGATTAAGTAAAATTTTAAATTGCTTCGTGGGAGTTCGCCCTAATCATCATTCTCTCACATGCACGTCTTCCAAAGTGGCTGCCCCAAGACCCAAAACTCTTAGAATGGATCATTGGAACTGCCCTCCTGCCATCCTCTCTTGATATGTGTCTGCATCACCTTTCTTCTGAGATCCCTGGTGCCAGAGACCACTTTTCTTTTCGAGAATTTTTGGTTTCAGTTTACCGGCGTTCTCACCGATGGTTTCTGTCTTGGGACCTCTCCTTCTCTGACGAGATTTTTTTTCGGCCTCCCTCTCTCTCTCTCCAGCGTTAATCAACGGTTTCATAGTGCTTTTGAGGACTGAGCTTCCGATCTGTCTTTTCTCCCCGTCAGAAGTGCCTGAGCGAGCACCGTCTCTCTCTCTCCACCGGAGGACCACACTTACAATGCAGCAGACGATATCCCAACCTCCGGAACCACCGGATCCGCCAGATCGATGGGTTTGGGATCTCTTGTCGTCTTCGGTCATTCACCCCCATCACCCTCTTCCAATGTCATCTGCTCTGTCGTCCTTGGTCTCTCTCCCTCGCTCAGATCCGCCGTGCTCCACCTCGGCTGCAGAAAGGCTCGCCGGGTCCCTCTGCTCCGCCCAGAGGTTCTCTAGATCTGACCTCCTTACGCCGCTGCCGGTTCTGTCTTTACCACAGATCTGCTGTCTCCTCCGTCTCTGTCTCCGCCGAGTTCTCACCGGCAAACCTTTTTGGACCCTAACCCGTCTCGCATCAAACGCAGCCAACCCTGTTTGCTGTGTTCTCATCCAGTGGGCTGTAATGGGCATAGACCAGTTGGGTGTAGGTTTGGGCTTGCTTCACAAGTGTAACCCAACAAGTACTTTATGTTCTGAATTTCTGGTGGGCTGTGAGGTCTTTTACCACTCATATTTTGCTATTGGCAAGCTATTTTCCTGGTTGAGAGTTAAAGGTATCCTAGGATGGCGACAATCCTCCTCCGTTCAGTTTCGACCTTTTTCGGGAGTTAGAGGTAGCCAAAGATGGCAACAATCCTCCTCCGACGGTGATTCATTCGAAGCTGCAGTTCTTGAGTATTGCCAACTTATCGGCGTATCTCAGAATCTGCTCCTCTCCTCTATGGAGAACGTTCTCGAATGCTCAGTTGCAACAGCATTTCGAGCTAATATTGTTGTTCGCTTGCCTCTAATGGCAGAAGAACTTCAAATCAATTTCAGATCGATCTCAGAAGCCTTTTTGAAGAAGCGTCCAGTTTTTGTGTTTGATTAGACTGCATAACCTATCCTATTACTGCTTTGGTTTATTTTTCTGCAACAAGTGATTACTCCTTGGCATCGAGTCGTTTACTCCTATCTGCTATTGTAGTTCCGTTTTAAACTTATGAAATATAATTAGTTGAAAAAAAAAATCATCGATCAAGTCTGATAAATCAACATCTCTGATCCTCATCATCTCCGATTAAGTCTCTGATCCGGTCTTCGTTCATCACCGGATCATCTCTGAACATCTAAAATCAAATTTGGTAGAATTAATTTCATCTTGGAGTCGCTATTCTCCGATTGGCTTCTGTTGTTGCTAGTTTCTTTTACAATCACCACCGGTTAACTTCTTGATGCAGTCTCTGTAATTCAAATCTAGATCAGGTTTTGAAAATTAATTTGGAAACTTGTTTTTAGTTAATGGTTTCATGGGTTTGTGTGTGTATGTGAAGCTATGGAGACGAATTTGCTCAGAAACGACATTAGAAGCTTCTCTTCTTGCCAAAAATGGGAGCTTGTTCTCGCTAATCTTGTATTTCAGGTTCTGTTTTTCTTCATCCACCGAAAATTTACGGGTTGAAGATGGTTTTTTCTGGTTTCAATGTGTTCTTAGGAGGTTTATCTGAACTCAGAAATTTCATGATTTATACCTTGTTTTAACATTGTTAGCTTTGCTCAAAATTTGTGTTGGTGGTATAAATAAAAAGCTGAGTTGTGACAAATTCAACTAATTAGGCTCATTTTTGTTCTATGTGGATAACTTCAAAGATTTGTTCGTTTATAATTGCATCTTTTTTTTTCATTTTCAATTGTTTTCTGGTCTCTCTCTTTGAAATCAATACTTTCATGGATTTCACTATTTACACCAACCTGGTCCGACACTTCAAGATGTCGATTTATTCATTCCTCCAGTTAGTATCTTGTTTTGAATTTGGCAATTAATTTTGTTTTGTATCATAGTTCTAGGATTTTCGGGTAATTGATATGTGTTCCTTAGGTTCTTGGGGAAGACAAAGCTTTCATTAGTGAAACTGTATCTGTTACCATTTTTGGATCATTTGTTTTTATAAGTTTGCCTCTTTAAAGTATATGTTCTTATCACGGGTTAATGGCTTTTCTAACATGAGATTTATGTTGATTGCCATGGACCTTTCATCCTTTTGTTTCCCACAGTAAAAAAAGATTTAGGATAGCTTTCCTAAATCGTCTTTATAGAAGTTAGTGAAGATGCAGATTCTGTGAACCATCAGAGAGATGATCAGAAGGTGCATCAAACATGATATCATACGTGACATCAAGAGGTAGCGATTTTGTGGAGAGTGTAAATATTCTTGGAGATATTATTGACCACGAGTTGGATGTTTTACTTGAAGATAAAGCACAAGGAACAATGATATTTGAAGATTTGTGGAAGATTTAATGAGAAAAGAAAATATTAGTTTGATTAGGATTAATTAAAAAAAAAAAATTTCCCTTGGATTTAAGAACGTGGTTTGCCTTGCCAACTGGAGAGGGAGGCATGAAATTCTTTAAGTACAGAGTCTCTAGGGTCGAGAAAGGACATCCTTTGAGACTAGAGAGTTATAAAAAAAATGTTGTAGCCTTTTGGCATATTTGAGGGAAAATGGTGAGAGGTCATCACAAAGTGAGAGTTCTGGGTGTAGATTAGTGAGGCTAATCTTAGGGATCTCATAGTGAGTTAAGAATAGATGAGGGTCAATCTAAGAGGTTCTTAGAGTTGTGTAATTCCAAATTGGACTAACTGTACTTGTATTCAAGAGTATTCTTATTAAAGATTTGAGGTGTAGGCTTGTTTCTTAACCTTGGTATATTTCTTGTGTTTTGGGCGTTCTCTACACTTACAATTAGTATCAGAGCCTAACCTAGGCAGAAGAAGAAATTCTATTCCAGGGAACGATCCTGCGGAGAACACAAAGACACAACCTATGGCCTGCGTCGCAGCAAAAGTGTTGGTGTTGGGGTCAGAAAACTATGGTCATTGGAAATTGAAGATGATACATGAGCTAGAAGGAATTCATAAGGATGTCTGGACAGTGGTCGAATCTGGATGGGAGCCACCAAAACAAGCTGTTGCAAATGCTGATGCAGGTCCTGATGTAGTCACTGCTCTAAAGCCAAAATCAAGATAGACGAAAGTTGAGAAAAAGAGGGCTAGATACAATTCTCTTGCACTTTCAGCAATATATCGGGCTGTCTCATAATATCATTTTGCAATGACTCAAAGGTGTGCTTCAGCAAAAGAGGCATGGGATATTCTGCAATATTTTTGAAGGAACATTAAGTGTCAAATGCATAAGGTTAGATATTCTCTCTTCAGAGTTTGAACTTCTTAAGATGGATAATAATGAGAATATTGCTGGCTTTAGTGGTAAAATATGTTCCATGACACATGAAGCACGTGTTCTGGGGAAGGCATACAAGAATAAGAAGTTGGTCAAGAAGTTGTTGAGATGTCTGCCTTAGAGATTTTTTTGTGATAAAGACTGTGATGGAAGTTGCTCTTGATACATATACTTTTTCTTTTGATCAGGTAGTTGGAAGATTGCAGGTTTATGAGTTGGGTTTATCTTCTGATGGATCAAACACCTCACCAGGGATTGATGTGTGCTCAGATAGTGGTAGTGAAGACAACATAACATCTTACAAGATAGAAGACCTCATGAATCTCGTGGAGAAGAAGGTTGAACAAGTTCTGAAGAGAGTTGAAGACAAACTGAAGAAGGGTTACATCCAATGTCATGAGTGTGAAGGTTTTGTGCATTTTAAATCAGATTGTCCTACAGCCAGGAAAAAAAAAGCCAAGACTGGTTATTCCAGAGATTATAGACCTCACAACAAATTTTATGCACGTGAGGAAGACTTATCTAATCTTGTGGCATTATTTGGATCAGTCAGAGAAGCTGATACTGGTTCTGACAGGCCGCCTGGTGCAGATGCGGATATAAACACCAGCTTAGCCAGCAATTCAGGAAGTGAGAAGTGTTATGTTCAATATATTATATGAGATTTATATGAATGTGGCTCTAGTAAAAGAGAAGAAGTGGTTGCACATCAAAGTTGAAGAATTTGAAAACTAGCTTGATTGTGAGAAGAACCATTCAAAGGAGTTGGTGGATATCAAAGTAAGAGGAAGAGGAGACCATGTCCGTACAAGTCCGTACAGAAACACTTAGGGAACCGTATCACTCAAGGCTGATCATCAATCAAGCATGGTACACAAGTCAAGAATATACTCAGCTCTACGGTTGTGTGCTCCAACGGTCAAGTGTCCCAACGGTCATCTTGGTTCAATAAAATAAGAAGATAAGATCACATGTCAACTTAAGCATACAACCGTTGAGACATGTCACTATCATCGCTTTGAAGACCATCCCTTTGTTTATTCTTTCTGTCGTTGTCTCCTTGGTTTATGTTATAACTAGGTTGTCTATAAATAGACATCCACCCTCATTTGTAACAAGAAATTTAAGAGAATAATACTTATACTCTCTCACTCTCTTACACTCTCGTCACTTGTTCTTCACTTCTTAATTATATCATTTTGCAAACTCTAACATGGCATCAGAGCGAGTTATGTATATCTTTGGATCACAAACTCTGATTCTCATCTTCTCTCTTTTTACTTCTTCTCTATTCGTTATCTCTTCAAGTTTTCAAGAAATTCTCAAACTCTTTACCCAATGGTCCATAAAATACTCTCTCTCAAACACAACCACTAAACCATCTCCTAAACTCCAAAACCACTTTAAACACCCCTAATCATCCATACTATCATTCGCTTATTCCTCATCACTCTCACAAAGTCATCCTTAAAATCTATTGACCACCGGTCCATAGTATTGCCCATAGGTCCATAGAATCAAAACATGGCCATGGAGAACAACAAGCCATTGGCTTTACCAGTTACTCTTAAAGGAGTTAACTACCTGCTGTGGTCAAGAACCACAAGAACAGCCTTGTGTGGAAGAGGTCTTTGGAGTCATGTGTCAAGCGATGCTCCTCTAGCAGCACCACCAGCCGCCGGAGCCACCATTGTCCCAACCGAAGAGACCCAATGGTACAAGGAAGACCAGACTGTCCTTGCTATACTACAAAGCTCCCTTAGCAATGAGATCTTGGAGGCTTACTCATACTGTGAAACCGCCAAAGAGCTATGGGAGACTTTGAAGCAGGTGTTTCGCAATATCTCCAACCTAAGCCGTGTGTTTGAAGTCAAGAAAGCCATCAACGAGCTAAGACAAGAAGACACGGAATTCACTAAGCACTTTGGAAAATTCAGAGCGCTATGGGCCGAGCTGAAAATACTGAGGCCAAGTACAGTAGATCCACAAGTCTTGAACGAAAGAAGAGAGCAAGACAAGGTCTTTGGACTACTTATGACTCTCAGCTCAACCTACAATGATCTCATTAAACACCTTCTCAGAGCAGAACGGCTACCAACCCTTGAAGAAGTCTGCTCCCAAATCCAAAAGGAACAAGGATCACTCGGCCTATTTGGAGGAAAAGGAGAACTGGTCCTAGCTAAAAAGGGAGCCTACAAGTTTGATGAGAAGAGAAACTCTTTCTGTGATCATTGCAAGAGAAAGGGGCACACCAAAGAGATATGTTGGATTCTCCATCCACACCTCAAACCAAACAAATGGAAGGAGGGAAAGGCTAAGTGTGCAACGGAATAAGCTGCTCACAAAGGCGAAAACTCTAAGTCTATCACTGGAGGAGAAGGTGCAGCCAACTCATCTCAATTCGTGACAAGATCGGACTTAGATGCCCTGATCAAAGCGTTTAAAGAATCTGGTAACACTCTTGGTACCTCTTTTCATGTGGTTAAAGATATGGGTAATTCTTATAGTTCTTCATACACACTTAAGAATAAGCCTTTAATCGTTGATTCAGGAGCTTCACACCACATGATTAGTGATTTAAGCTTAATTAGTAACATAAAACCAACAATAGGAAATGTTGAGATTGCTAATGGAGAAAAGGTACCAATTAAGGGTGTAGGAGAACTTAAGCTATTTGAAAGATCCTCTAAAGCGTTTTATATGCCTACTTTTACCTCTAATCTACTGTCAGTTAAGAAAGCTACAACTGATTTAAATTGTATTGCTATCTTTGGACCTAATGATGTGTGTTTTCAGGATATTAAGACCAGCAAAATGCTTGGAAAAGGGACTACTAAAAATGATTTATATGTTCTTGAAGACACTAAGCTTTTATCCTGCATGTTCTAATAACGTTGTAGCTTGTGCTAATAATGCAATTTGGTATGCTAGATTAGGACATCCTCATGCTCGTGCATTGAGTCTCTTATTGCCTAAGGTAGCCTTTAAAAATGACGATTGTGAGGCTTGTATCTTAGGAAAACATTGTAGAACTGTTTTTCCTAAGTCTTCTACCATTTATGAAAAATGCTTTGATTTAGTACATTTTGATGTTTGGTCATCTCCATGTGAATCTAGAGATCAAAACAAATATTTTGTTACCTTTATAGATGAAAAATCTAAGTATACTTGGTTAACACTTCTTCCATCAAAAGATAGAGTCTTTGAGGCATTTAGAAACTTTCAAACTCACATAACTAATCACTTTAATGCCAAGATTAAGATTTTCAGATCAGATAATAGAGGAGAATACACCAGTAACATATTCAAAGAATATCTCACCTCACATGGCATCATTCACCAAACGAGCTGTCCTTACACCCCCCAACAGAATGGTGTAGCTGAGAGGAAGAATAGACACTTAATGGAGGTGGCCAGATCCATGATGTTCCAAAGCAATGTACCAAAGCGGTTTTGGGGAGATGCTGTGCTTACAACTTGCTACTTAATCAACCGAATCCCCACCAGAGTTCTTAATGACTCATCACCCTATGAGGTACTCAACTCAACAAAGCCTTCTCTTGATCACTTACGAGTGTTTGGCTGTGTCTGTTTTGCTTTAATCCCAGGAGATCTAAGAACAAAACTGGATGCAAAGAGCACTAGGTGCATGTTTGTTGGTTACTCTACTACCCAAAAGGGATACAAATGCTATAATCCTACTACACGGCGGGTGATAGTCTCTAGAGATGTGAAGTTCTTGGAATCAGAAAGCTTCTATGCCAAACAGTCATGGGAAGACTTACAAGACATCTCCAAGTCCACATCAGATAGAGCTACTAACCTCCGGCTGCTCCTAGATCATCTCGGTGTCACTACAAGCACTGGAGCCCCTACGGTTGATCATGAGGGGGAGAATGGTGAAAACAATGACC